GATTTGTAGAAGTTTTTGCTGCCTGAACATACTAAGGATTGTGCCCTAAATCTCTCAATAAAGCACCTGGAAGTAAGTTAGTTGATATATTTATACAGAGGTTTTAAAACAATCAAAATTATTTAGTATTTCTAAATGTGCAAAAGTGAATGAACAGAACATTCAGGAACAACATTCTAATAGATGTATTTACATTCAGAAGCAGTATTGTGTTTGAAATAAAAAGCCACATACATCAATACCAGATGAAACTTCAGAACACTTTATCCAAGTGTAGCTCAAACGCACAAGCAAGCTGAGAAGGAAAATTTCTGATTAAGGATCAAATGTACTGAACAACTCACCCTATTTTCAAGTATTTCTTCCATTCGTTTATGCAATTTTAAGTCCAAAGGGCGAGCAAATGTCTTTGGAGCTGTTCTATCACTGGTAATGTTTCTTTCAGTTTAGTTCAGAAACATCTCTAGTTCTATTACCCTCAATTACTGAGACTGCATCAAAACAGTAGTAGAAATAACAAGCACCTGGCTGGAGAGGAACAACAGAAAATATGAACACAGAAAGCTCTGCAGATGTGTGTCATACCTTGCACTTTTTTCTTTGCTCTCACAGCACTCCTCTTGATATCATATTCATTATCATAGTAGTAGATGAAAGGAAAGGTAGGAAATGTTCCTCTAAACATCCGCTTCTCAGAGCATTCCTGCAAACCACATTTTAATGTTATTCTTTCAAGGCATTTTCTTTTACCTAGAGCTTCAATAATTCAACCTGTCCAAGGAAATAAAGCAACTGAATTGTACCAGTTGGTTTTGCCAGTTTATATAGAATACATCCTGGTTAAATGATTTAGCTAAATCCCTGTGCAACAGCAGAGGTACCCAGTTTGCTTTTATTGGAAACAATGTTTTAAACATTTTGACAGTTCTGTTGGAGGAAAAAAATAGATTTTGGAACGGTAAAGTGTTTTTGAAAAGAAGACTTTGTCAATGATTTCCCACCCTTTTGTAGCAAATGCTGTTGAAGGTCCCATCCTGAATACCTTCAGACAAGACTATGGAAAGAATCATGAGTAATCTGTGATGGCAGTGGAACACACTTCCCACCCCGAGGCCTTCTTGGTGATGCTGTACAACATCTAGGGCTTATGCCACTGACAGATGGCTTTTCCTCCTTTTCATATGATGACAGTAAAGCCTCAGTAGTTGAAAACACAAGCGACTCTGAACAGGTACTGCTTCCTCTTTTTACCATCACTGCATCAAATAATCATCTCAGTGGTGTATGACATGCACTTTCCCAGACTCCTCTCCTTCAGGTGAGCTGCCACTATGCCATACTCTGTACTGCTCAATTCCCTGGAGATGCTCCTTAGCACCACAGGTAACACACATAGGATGGAAAGCATAGCCTCTCACCAACCCACTGGAGAAACATTACAGCTGACTGACAGCTTGGAATGCTAATGCAAAACACAGCTGCAACTTCTCTACTTTCTTTAATTTTGCAGCAGTGGAACACAAAATCTGGACAATAACAATAGGGTGTTTTTTTTGGAGGGGCAGTTTTTTCCAGTTTAGACTCTTAGCACATCATCCAGAAAAACAATCATTCTCCCCATCTTTCTCTCTTTAAGTCCCCCGATTGCTTTTCAGCTCTTGCTTCCCCACACTTTTTGAGAGTGGATTCCCTCTTCCTGTCAGCGATCCTCTAGTAATTTGCATCCGATTAAAGAACAGTTTGCATCCAATAAAGCATTTATAGATTTTTCCATTCACACACAATGACATCATCTACTATCAATGCCTTTTCTGCCAGCTGCTTCTCCATCATTGGGCCTCCTTGTCTGCTCAGAGGCCATTATAATTCCAAATGCCTGAGAGCAAGAGAAGAAAAAATCAGGAAAGGGAAAAAGCCCATAATCAGCTTTCCATGCCTGCTGCTTCTCCATCATCTCATCCATAGGCCAGAGAGGAAACAGCTGCAGGGAACTCACTTCAATCCTCCCTGCCAGATAGTACACACAGCTCCAACTGACAGTTCCCTAGTGCTGCAAACTTCGGTCTCATCCATCATCCAGAAAACCAAGGGCAATGGGGAGGTTGCATCCCCTGCCTCCCAGGAAGAACAGCATAGCAAGTGAATATCAACCTGGCCCCAAACACTGGCCATATATGCATTTGCTTTTTTCATTCTCCCTCTTAATCCCTTTTCCTTTTGTGTCATCTCTTTTGGACTGTAAGTCTGAAGACAGGTGCTGTTTGTATGTAATGACAGTCTATGTTTTAAGTAAATGCTGGCATGTAAGGCACAACTTGAAGAAAATGGATACACCACTTGTAGTCAACCCACCTCTCTGTACAGCTTTCCCACAGGTTGTTTGAGCATCATGTGCAAACTCAGATGGCTAGATTGTTTACGAGTTGAACAACCAAACAGTTAACTCAACAAGAAATGCTGGATTAAACATTAGATTGCTTAGCTCTTAAACAATCCCGCAGTCCTTGTTCAGGAGTCAAACTTCACAACCTACAATGGAGCTGATTGTGGGTTGTGGAGCAACAGGGAAAATGGCAGGCATGCTCCAGGTAGAACAGTCTCTCTCCTGCTCATGAGTTGTTCAAATCACAGGCTGCTGTCATATGCTAATCAAGGCCTGATCTTTGTAAGTTGTTCTAGGAGCCTTTTTTGGATGAAGAGTGGGGTGAAAATGCTGCAAATAATTTATTACTATTCATACACGCTTTTATAGGCCATCCTCCATTGCCAATTTGGCTCTCAGAACTCACTCCAGCCTATGTTTAGGTATGAAGGCCACACCCCTAAGATTGAATGGGTAAGTCACTCACCTAGGCCACTGAGTCCAGACATTCTCTATAATTCCAAAAACAGAATTATACAGAAAACAACAGGACTCTCCTCTTTATATCCTTGACCTTCTTTGCTCCCATTTGCTTCCTGAAACCAAATATGTAAGTAGCCTTGCTCAACTGCCACAATTTTAAAAATCTGATTGTTCTATAAGTGGAATACATTTTTATTAAAGGTACATAAAACTTGATGCAATGCAACAATAGACTGCTCTCTTGCATTTCAGCTATGTGTGCCATCAATCAATCCTCAAGGGTTTGGTAACTGCTGGTGTCTGCTCACATTTGTTGCCTGCCATAGAAGGCATGTCTGTGGCAAAACTGTGGTTGAAAATATGTGCCACATTGTCTTCAGATAATGTAATGGCTTCAACAAATAGTACTGCAAGTACTGGGAGAAGTTGACCATCAACTGTTTTCCAGCTGAAATACACAGACAAAGGTCTACTTTATACAATATGGGATAGAAAAGCAGCCACAGGAGTTTCTTCTCTCTGTCCTACTCATACTGATTGCATCTTGACTACTTTGCATGATTATCTACACTGGGGGAGGTGGCCTGAGGGAGTGGTTTCTAAACCACCTTGCAACCCAGGGACCATTCCAGCATAGTTTGGGAGCAACTCCCACTACCTGGCTTTGCTGGGTTAGACAGCACGTGGCTGACATGCATGGGGAGGGAAAAAGAATCCACTGTGGCTTCTTTTTGTCCCTAGTTGTGTGAACTCATTCAATGTGTTACCATGCCAAATCTGAACCAGGGGAAGTCCTTACAGGTCAGCAACAGGGGCCTTATTTTTTGGTCTGAGAGCTGAACTGCCCACAACCAACTGATCTTGTGGGCCATCCATGGAAAGAGTCGTTTTCCCTTCCATAACCTCCCTTGGCTCGATTCTTTCCCATTTTGTCCTTTTCCTTTCAGAGAGTTTGGATATGCTGATCAGGATAGCTTTCTAGTATCAAAATTGGTAGGTTTTTGTTGCAATTATTTTGAGGTTTACTATTCTATCTCTGGCCATAAAATGCCTGTTTTTATCAAAGTGTGCTTGAATGAATCAGCATTGAAGAGTAAGCATACTTATCTCTAGACTGGGTCTTACTAGAAAATAAGGAACCTAAGCACCAGTCTATGGCTTAATTGTAAGAGCCACAGAGAAACCTGTCAAAGACAACCAGGTACCTACATTTTCTCATCAAGGCAATAAAAGTAGAAGACCTAGTATCTTGGTTGCTGCTTCCTATGAAAAATCAAAAAATGTACTGGAACAGGACTCTAATGCTGCCCATCTGCTCAGAAGTTAGCCCTATTTATTTCAATGGAGCTTACTCCCAGGTATGTGTGCAAAGGACAGTAGAGCTTTTATTTAATCATTTTAAAGTTTTTATAGAATGTTCTATAGCAAATGCTCTCAAACATTCTAAAGCAAATGCTTTTGTGCATCAGAGACAACCACCTTTCTATTATCTTCTTTTGGCAATGTATGGAAAGACTCCCAAATTCACAGTCATCCGAAAGCTTTTAATACAGCTAACTACACCAGTTTCACTGCACACAGCAGTCATTGTAATTTAAACTCTGTTCTCTGCTTCTTCCTGCCATTAGAAGTCACATGGGAAACTGAAACAAATTTCATTTTCCTATGCCTTGATCACACGTACTCACGTTATGTTTGAGGCAAGTCACAATTTATTAGCAAAAAGCTTGCAAGATCCTAAGGCCCTATTTGGTCTATATTGGACTGGAGGGAGGGAGGGAGGGAGAATATGAGAGTGAGCACTCTGAGAATAACTGCCAAACTGCTGGATATTCTATGTGTTTGATGCTATCTTGTCAGTAGAATGCTTGGTAACAGTGTCACAGCCAGCTGAGACTTACATATCCATAATGGCCTTTCTCTGCACAGTTGTAACAGTACACTAAAGGAGAATGCTCAGAATGAGTTCGGGCCTTCTTGAGTGGTCCTGGTCTGGTCTGCAACAGAGAAAAAGGGCAGTAAATAACCCTAGCAAACTTTGAAAAAATGATTAATTTCAAATAAATCAATATAGCCCTCCCCAACCCAATCAACAGTAGTACAATTAGGTCCATCACGTTAAAGAGCCTTATTTTATGCATGCTTACTCTGAAGTAAATCTCACTGAATTCAATAGGCGTTACTCTCAGGAAAGTGAATATATAATTGCAGTTTTAGAGGACATAACACAGAATTTTCAATCAGTTAATAGATCTTTATACATCTGCATGGAAAAAAATGGCTCTGAAGAAAACAAAACTACCTTGGAAATATGCATTTAAAGGAGGCATTCTTTTGTGCAAGAGTGATAGAAGAATACCTACTATAAGATGGCATTTGTTTCCTGTAGCCTGTACTAATTAATTTTGTTCTATATATAATACCTGCTCCCTGATTAACCAGGGGCTCCTTTTCAAAATATAAGAATACTTTGAATTGATTTATCTAATCAACTAAAGGTGCAGTCCGACACACCCTTAAATGGTGGCAAGATCTATTGATCAAAGGAGGTCTTGCTTCCCAGGAACAAGTTGCCCATTACAGCCCTAATATTTTACAGAACGGACAAGTATGTGACTTACTTCTCCCTGAAGCTTCTGATTCATCAACCATGGTATCCTCCTGGACAGGTTCTATGGGATGGCCATCAGGAGCACTTTACTTCAGTGCTTCTGTTCTTAACTTTATAGTTGCTCTCAGAAAGCGTTATTAGGGGGCACTAATGTTATGGAGTACACCAGGGTGCTATTTTGTTCCCCAATTCTTTAACAGCTCTATGAAACCACTGGGAGGGTTTGTCATTTGGAGCAAGGTATCATCGGTAGGTAGGTGACATCCAGCTCTGCTTTTCTATAACATTTATATGACTTGGATGTGGCTGCACACAATAGAAGAGGCACTAGAGAGCTTATTGCAAATATATGTTGGCTACTGGAATACACCAAAGAATTTCAGAAAAAAAACCCGTCTGTGCTTTATAGAGGAAAGCCAAGCCCTTAACTGGGTGGATCATGAGAAGCTATGGGGGTCCTGAAAGAAATGGGGGTGCTTCAGCATTTGAAGCTACAGTTCGGACAGAATATGGATAAACAGAATGGTTTCCCACAGGCAAAGGTGTTAGACAAGGATATACATTATCTTCCTATCTATTTAATCTGTATGTATAACATAACATAATGAAAGCTGGATTAAGATTATAGGAAGGAATGAAAATTGATGGAAGGAACATTACCAATTTAAGATATGCAAATGCTACCATACTACTGGCAGAAAAGAGCAACAACTTGAAACAACTCTTGATAAAAGTGAAAAAATGTACAAAATTAGGACTGCAGCTGAATATTAAGAAAACAAAGATCATGTCCATAGAAGAATTACAGAACTTTACTGTTAATAAAAATAAATCAAAATTGTGAGAGACTTCCCATACTTTGGCTCAATCAGCAATTAAAAGGGAAACTGCAGTCATGAAATTTAAAGATTGAGACTTGGGAAGGCAGCAATGAAGGAACTAGAAAAGATCATGACATATAAGGCCATTTTACTGGAGACCAAGGTCAAGATCATCTGAACTACTGGATTCATAGCCACAATGTATGGGTGTGAAAACTGGACAGTGAAGAAAGCTGGCAGGAAGAAAACTGATGTGCTCAATATATGGTGCTGTATAAGAGCATTGCAAATACCCTGGACAGACAGAAAGACAAACAAGTGGCTTCTTGGTTAAATCAAGCCAAAGCTTTCCCTAGAAGCGAAAAATGACAAATCTGACAAATCATACTTCAGACATCATGAGAAGGCAAGATTCACTGGAGAAGACAATCATGTTAGGGTAATTCAGAAAATGAAAGGGAAGACCAAATATGAGATGGACTGAATCCATAAAGGAAGCCACAACCTTGAATTTGGAAGAGCTGAATGGAGCTATCATGGGCGGGACATTCTGAAGGACTTTCATCATAGGGTCATCATAAATTGGAGATGACTCGATGGCACCTAACAACAATTTTTAATTTATCTAAAATTATTCCTAGCATAACTTTAAGGGTGGAATCCTCTAAATATTTCGATATTAATGTTATGTTCACCAGCTTGAGAAATTTGTTTAATAAAATATCAGTTATGCAATACTACATAAATAGTGCCACTGTTGGAACAAAATAAAATTCTAAAACCCCACAAACTAGATGAAGAATTGCATGATATTTTACAAATGCTTTAAAACTTTCAGAAAATATTGGTTGGGATGGAAAAAAAGGGAGACGTACATGTAGGAGAGGACTTGCACATGTGACCAAACCTGCACTTTTCAGTTGCAGGAGTTCCATACCAAAAAGGTGAAAGAAAAGATCTGACCATGTGAACAGCCTTCCTGTGCATGTGAATGTCATTCATTCTAGGTTTTTGTCTCTCTATAAATAAAATAACCATCTATTCTAAAATTTCCTCATCAATCTAGACATATGAACTCTAATCCACAGGTGACTTGACTTGCTGTATCTATCCCTTTCAAGTAGGACTTTACTCAATTTATACAAGAAAATGAACAATTTTCTACAATTCCTTTAAATTTGGCAAAACTTTTTGGCAGGTTGCACATGGGTACAATCTAACACTATATGGATGTTCCCATGTCATTCCAAGAATTCTGATCTTAGTTTTATAGGAACAAGTTTCTATATCTGATGTTTGTAAATGTCGAACAATGACAATCCACTATTTTATAGGAAGCGTAAGTGAAGCTTTCAATTGTGATTATTTTTCCTCTGCTTCTGTTTATCTATTACCTCCCAACTCATACTATTTATCTTTGTTTCATGGCAAAAACATTATAACAGACAAGGCTGAGAAAGAAACTCCACTCTGCAAATCAAAGGGAACTTTGTGAGTCCCAGAGGAGGTCACAAATAATCAATTTCTTTCTCTTGCCAATTGAATGAAAATGAAAACCATCATTAGTAGTGAGAATACAAGTTATTATCATGACTCTACATTATATCAATCCTCTCTACAGCAAAGGCTTTCGTGCTGTTCTAGATGGTGGTGTGATCCTTCTGAAAGATCAGGTTTGTCGATTCTCCCTAGATCTTCAGGTGACAGAGGTAGTGAGGATCACATTTGTACAGTATGTCTAGCATGTTGTCTGTAGTCATTCCTGAATCAGTCTGATCTGGTTAAATTATTGCAATGTACTCTTGGGAAGGCTACCTTTGAAGCCTAGAAGCTTCACCGCATAGCAATTGCAACAGCACTCTGATCCTGAACGACCCACTCTGGTTGCCACTCGTTTTCTGGGCTTAGGTCAAGTTTTAAGTTTTGTTTTAATTTTTGAAGCTGGAAATGCCTTTGGACCTAGTTAGCTGAGGGACCACTTGTTCTGCGTGGTAATTAAGATCAGTAGGAGAGGTCCTTCCCAAGGCACCTTACTTGCAAAGGTTCACTTGTTAGACATGCAGAAAACCACCTTTCCCTGTAATACTTCCAAACTCTGCAGCTGTGTCTTGTCCTCAAGTCTCTCTGTATTCTGGAAGGGGGGGGGGGGATCAAGCCACATCTGTTTAATTTGGCTTTTAAAATTATTGTGTGGGGGCTTTAAGGTTGTTATTAATGTTTTTATTTGATTACAGTTTTTATTTCTGAAGTCCTGTAAACCACCTTGCTCAGATTCAGGAAAGCAGTATAAAAATACAGTAAATAAGCAAAGTATTGTTATATCAGCATGTTGCAAATTGATTTGTTTTACGAATTTTATCAACTGAAGCCAATGTAACTATATTGTATAAACAATAATATGTTCTCTTATAATCCCCTAGCCAGAGTACACCTAGAGCATCTCTGTAGCTTCAGTACAGTGGCACTTGCTGTATGTCATCACTCTGTCCAATACCGAACTCAGGCAGGCAATGTAAATCACTATGGATAGAAAATGTGACCAGCCATGTATACTCAGGGGAGTCTCGAGGTATGTAGAAGTGCTAAACATCTTACAAATAACCTCCACTAGGTTTACCCCAAAGAATACAAACCGTGCATACATGCCCACACATGGGAATTAGGTGGGAGAGAATACAAGCACAGCCTAGCGTGGCAGTTAATGGAGACACGGCTGCTTCATTTCCTCAGCTGCTCTACAGCTTCCCAGGACTGGGCAAACTGGATGAAGCCATGGAGGAGGATGAATTAAGGAACGCTTTCTAAGTAACACACCTGCCACTCCTGTTAAAACAGGAGGACTACCACCAACAGCTGCAGCCAAAGGGTGGTGGGTAGACCAGAGAAAGAGTCACCCTCTGAAGCAAACCCAACTGGCTGATCTGCACACTCAAATTAAGCTACCATGGCAATAAGCAACAAGTGCTTATTTAAACGATGGCATGTGCTCTATGTAATTTTTGTAATCAGAGTGCAAACATGGTGTGATTTCCATAATCACTGTCCAGGCACTGCTTGCCATGTCATTCCAGCCAGGACAGGGTTAGGGCTGGAGGTGGAAACACCCCTTCAACAGCCCAGTTAACAGTCCATGGTTACTGGAGGATTGTTGCCTGTCCTGCACTGTCCTGGGTTTGGATGGCATAGTAAACCACACCAACGCAATCATTATGGAAATCACACCACTCATACACTGTTATTTGAAAAAGCTTACTGTGGCTTATTTTCATCATGCTAACTGGATCAATAAGTGGCTGGGCTTTAAAGGGACAGTGCCTCATTTCTTAATTCAGTTATTCCTGTAGAGCGCTCCACTTATTCCCTCTGGTAACCAAGCTGAGTGGTCTTGTGCCTCTCAGTCCAAAAGCAAAGTGAGACCACCCAAAAGTAAGGTCATGGGTACTACATATTTGGGAGACTCCTAAGTAAACTCAATGCCATCTATTCTAAGTTATTTCCAGGACCTACATAATGTGGAATACTGTACAACAGCTGGAGAAAAAAGATGGGAGAAAAGGGTATGTGT